CATGAAAGGATTGTGAAATCAAGATATTTTGGTGAGAGACAGGGTCTTGCTCATCGTTTGTGACCTCGTAGGTGCCAGGTGTGACTGAGACATTGAGATAGGATGACATTGGCATGATATGATCTGAATGCTGTTGGTAAACGAAACTGAAAGCCATTCAGCGGACTCATGTAGAAGGAACTCAGTGAATGACAGCAAATAGTTGATATTTTCCTCGTACCTATTGCTACCTACTTTGTGGAGGGATGTGTGTGACTCCTGTTCATATGCTAGATTTGGGGGGCGGTCGTCCCAAGCTTTTCTACCTAGTGGACTCCCCACATCCACGATTGAAAGGAGGGCAAGTGAAAGACGGATTTTGGGGATGACTGTGGACTGGCTGCGATTTGAGCTTTGAGCAAAGCTAATGCTTGTGTATTGAGCCAACCAACCCCAAACACATGAAGAGCCTGAACTTGTATGTTGGCCAACAGTGTCCGAGAGTTTCAATTTTTTTGCAAGAGCAGGGGCCACATGGGTTTGCATTAGGGAAGGCCCCTACCAATGAATTGTGGTCTAAGTTCCTTCTGGAAAGGGAGTCTAGAATGGGGTCTCCCTATTCATACAGATGAATTTCATGGATTCAGCTTGCTGTTTTCCGCTTCTTGAGGAGACCGGTTTGGGTGGGCTGACGTCGATGGCAACGGCTCCTCGGCCCAGTGCATCGGGTCAGGGGGGCGAATTCCATGGCAGACATGAGAGAACATGGGACATCACCGTGACACACCCCAAAGTGGACATCACATCAATACTGGAAAGGTTCAAATCCTTGATTGCAATAGGGGCATCCCAGGTTCCATCTGTGATCTCTCCTAGCAGCGCGCCGCCTGGAGTGCCCGGAGCCTGAGTCTTCCTGAGCCCCAGGCATCCCAGAGCTGCCAATTTTGGGATCATCAACACTGATCAAAGCTGGCTTGTAGTGCGGGATTATGAACATGTTGGGATTATCCCAGAGCTTGTAGTTTTCAATTATCCCAGTGCTTCCTTCTTTTGTGTGCCACTTTTCGGGTCTCAACACATCCAAAGGGGCCCTGCCCATGTGTGCAAGGGGTTTTCACCACCACGTGGACCCGCTGAACCGTTCAGCGGGAGAAGGCGACGCGAGCTGCTCTGCTCCGCTGAGGTCTGATCTTCAACAAGTCGGCGGATTGTTTGGAGCTTAGACCAGTCAGTCAAAGGGACGTTTGCCACCCGTGAGGTTTCAACAGGTTGCCCTCTATGACTCCAGAGAGCGCGAGGATTTGGGTTGGGCAAGCTCACACTGTACGTTTTTCTTTAGGATCGCACGTATTGAGTTGTTTAGTAGCGTTTCTGAAATCAGTCAAACGCATCAGTTGCTTCAAGCATAATTCCTGCAACTTCGCCGTGTGATGCTGTCCACATGGCAGAGCTTAAGCGAGAACGTACTATTTATGTGTGGCTTTTGGTTTGTTCATGCGTCTGCTATTGGTTCGCGACATTGGGCTGTAGCCACCTTTCAGTTGTCCCACCCGAGAGTCTCATCCAGTAAGATATTCGCCCAGTGCAGGCGAATAAAGCGCGCGACCCTCGACACATCTGAAATCCTACACAAGACTTCAACACAAATTTCAAATCCTTGAATATGTCATTTCCAACATTTCCAACATCCTACCGAATCCTACCAAATCCTTTCAGTGCCTTTTCAATGCGCAGCGACCACATGCAAAGAGATGCAAATCGTCCACCCTGTGGCGTTCGTCCAAAAAAGCCATCCCCCATGCCACAGAAAGTCAGGTCGAACTTGCGAAACGGAAAACTGGGATGACTTCGCCCATCCGAAGTCCAACTTCTCAACTTGGAACAGCGCCTCATCGGCCTCGCTGTGAACTCCCCACCGGAACCGTCGTCTTCGGCCGAAGCAGCTCGATCCGCTCGAGGTCGCCCAACAGCGATCCGCTGCGCCGGCATGATCTGGCAGGCGGATGGAGGGGGGGATCGGCTGAAAACGGCCCAAAACGGCGTGGCGAAGAAGTGGAGAGTTTTTGGAGAACATGGCCTGCACGTGTAGACTTTGTTTCACGCTCTTTTGGATTGTAGAGGGTATGATTTTGTTGATTCTATTGCTGGAATGAAGGGGGTCTCTCCCAATAAGCATTGTCCAGTTCGTGACTAAGTGTCCAAAGCAACAGCAGTCTGCCTTTGTGCTTCTTCCTTTGACCAGGACATAACCAATATTATATACTCATTAATTGTTTGTGTTCTCTTCCGAACGAAGATTTATATACTAGGGCACCTTCAAAACTGGCTTGCAGGTTTGCACGTGCAAATTTTCTTCCGGGGCAGCCAGGGGCATGAGCCGGAATGGCAGTATGCAGTATGGATTGGATTGAATACAAGACCGAGCTCATGTGCAAATCTAACCTTTTTGCCCATTTCCTTCCCCAGCTAGATGTAGATCCGTCCAATCATCAAATTGCCTGGGGGTTCCAAACCTTTCCCTTGAAGCTCGGACAGGACCTAGTGTAAACACGCAGAGCCATTTTCAGCTGCTACCCTTTCGTTCTCAGACGCTTTTTGGACATCCTGTTCGCGGTTCTCATGGCATCGGTGAAACGAGTCTGTTTTTTGTCCGCCGGGTCGTCGACACGCGCCCAGATGGACTGGGAAGTCTATTTACAGTGAAAAACACGCGCCTTGGCAGAAAGGCCCGCGTCTACCGCGCTGAGAGGATCTTCACATATCTTCACATACCGAAACGACGTCTGTGGGCTGTGGGCTGTGCCGCACGTGCCTGCCAAGGTTTATCGAGTGCGAGGACGACCTGTCGGAATGAACCAATAGATTGGACTTGTCTGAATGAACCAATACCAGTTTTTCAATCTTTTTTTAAATGCAATTTCAATAGGAAAGGCTTGGGGTTTTATCAGTGAATACATGTGAACTGTACACTGTAGACACCTTTGTACAAGTTTTCTGACGCCCCTCCTTCGGTCTCACCCTTTTTGGGGCGTCTTTGGATCATCTGCACTCGGGTTCCACACAGGAGCCACAGGCAGAAGGTGTCGGGCTACGGGCTGTGCACACTGCTGCCGGGCGCCTTGACATGATGTGGCGAGATGAAGAGGACACCGGTCGGCCTGGTCGGCCGGTGGGATCAGAGGGAGTAGAAAGAAGTAAGGCAAAACAGAAGCTTTTGAGACAGAAGATGGAGGGGATGATGTCTCAAAAAGGATAGATGTTGATAGATTTGAGACACCACTGCAAGTCAGCAGTTTGCTGCCGCCAGTCTTTTCGACGTTCCTTTCTCCTTTCTTCTGTGCTTCTGCAGGATCGCATCGACTGATATCTCTCAAAGACCAGCCTGCCTGGCAGGTGATTTTTTGAAGGTGACTGATTGCACCCCGTGCTTATCAGAGCTGCCATTCAATTGTGCAAGCTCTTCTTTGACTTCAAGATGGGCAACATATTCTATATTGAATGCTGTCTACGCATGCGCCTCCATGCGCTTTTGTCATGAGTCAATAGGACATGGCCACTTTTCTGAAAAACTCCGAAGGACGAAGAGAAGCCATGTACTTGACAAAGAACGATTTTCAAGGAAGAGCTTTGGACGAAGCAGCCAAGCTATTGAATGTATGGTAGTGCTTTTGCCCCGACGCTGGTGTTCAAAGAGACTCTTGATGCAATTGTAGCCCCAATAAGTGCTCTGTGTTGGCCCGCCCAGCAGCAATGGTGAACTCTTTTGTTTTGTTTGCCGGTGGATTTGCAGATTAGAATGGGCATGTTGTAGCAACATAGCCGGTGGATGCTCTTGTTTGCTCTGGGTCAAGGGCCAAGCTTGAGCCATTGCATGACCTGTTTCAATCGGAGTCCGCAGCGAGCAGTGAGCATTCGCTCAATAGTTTTGGAGTGAACATCCGCAGCCCGACTTGGTTGTGACTCGTGGTTCTGACTTGCAACTGTTGTTTGCCAGATGTAGAAAATGCTGTCAGCCGTCCCTGTGACTTCTTGGGCCAAGATCGACTGCGGAACTCTGGAGGATTTCGAATTTGCTACATTTGCAAGGCTCATATCTTTCGCGAGGACGGTGTCGGATAGTGAATAGATGTGAGTAGTGAGTGATCATATAATGATTACGGTTAAGGACTTCTGGCAAGACAGGAGAAATGACGTGATCAATGGAGAAATTGCACAGATGACATGATGATAGTCATCCGGTGATGTGCGGTGGTGTTTCACGAACATCGAGCCCTGCTATCGATCGTAGATAGACATCAGATCACCACGGTCGGCCCCCCCCAAACAACCACGGACGTCGTTGACCACGGTCGACCTCGACTGTTCGTGGCAACAGGGGCACTGGGTCTGAAGAGACCACCCGTGGGTGCGCTGTTCGTCGATTCTTTTTCCGGGTGAACACCAGCTGGGCTTTTCATGGCTTTCGCATGATTGAAGCAAAAGGTGGTCGAAGGCAGCGAGCGAGAAACCGACTTCTTGGAAAAGAATGTTGAACCATGTCGGAGGTTGCTTGGGATATATAAAGCATGTTTGCGTGACTCTGTGACACGGGATTTTTTTTGGGAACAAATCCTTTTGAATCAGTAGATGAGAGCCGAGCTGTCGTTGGTGATGAGTGGGAAGTTATTAAAGGCACAGCCTTCCAGGAGTTTTCTACCGCAAGTGGAGCCATTGTCGATATTAAGCATTATTCACTCAACTCTTAGCACATGTGCAAAAAGTGGCAACTTCCCCCCCTGCACTCACGTTCAAGATTCACTGACTTGCCTCGGAAGACAGGCAGCTTTAACTAACAACTCACAGGGGCGGTGGAATCACCTGCAGCCAATTGCCTTGTTGCCAAAGAGAAGAGAATCATACAATTGGTTTGAATCTATAGTCTCAAATCATTTATATAGTTGTACCGAATGTGTGGAGTCACCTACAATATCCTACAATTATATATCATTCCTTGTATCAGACACCAGCGTATGCAGATGCAGGCCGTCCACTCTGGATACCTCAATGTCGAGCGGAAGGGCAAGGCTATGCTGGATAATCTAATGGCTTTGTAGCCCATCTCAAGATATATATTAGCTCCTGAATTGGACCATGGAACGGTTTGGCAAACTCTTCTCTTCCTGGAACGTGTGGAAGAACCAACCACATGGAACACCATGTGGGCGCAACAGAGGAATTGAATGATGACAGGTGATTTCGCCTTTCTTTGCGCTTCAAGTGGACAGCGCTGGTCTTGGGCGGGAGTTCGCCGCGTGTCGTGTGTCCTTTAAGCCGCCGATGTCGTGCGCGGCAAGGCCTGGAACGCCACGAAAGCAAGGAAGACTTTGAGAGCGGGAAGGCGGGTGATGACTCGGAGGGTTTCTTTGGTACACTCAGTACACTCCCTGAAATAATCATTCACGGAAGTGGAGTTCACCACCTGCTTTGGTATTCGCGTATCCATGATCATTGGAGTGTATGTCTCAAAGACCAGAACTTTAGGTGCCTAGCAGTGCCTGACACGCACAGGATCCGCGGGGTACGCAGCCCTTTGCAGAGATTGAACGACTCACAGCGAGACACTGAGAAACCTGGACTGGTTATTTCGTCCAAAGTGTTGAACTTCGGACTTTTTACTAGTGATCCTTGCTCCTAGTAGCTTCGTGTTCCTACTAGTACGGCCAGGAGGTAGTAGTAGCGTCTTTGCTCCTAGCAGTAAGGCCAGGAGCCCCTAGTAGCGTTCGAAGAGGAGGGGTATGGAGGGGTGTTCAGAGCCGAGTCCAGCCCCGGAAGGAAAGGATGCGGCAGTTCTTTTGAGGTTTGCCGATCGACAGCTAAGGCCAGAGGCAACCGATTTATGATTGGTGTGAAGCCGGCAGCCCAGAGGTCTTGGCGAGGACTTGGAGCGAAAGCCCACCGCGCAGACTCGCACAGACGCATTTTTACTTTTTTCGCATATGGAGCGAAAGCCACTGTGCCGGGACTTCTGTCTATGGTCCATTACGTACTTGCAGACAGAGGCTGATGATGGCTGCTGGGTTTTCCGGTTGAATGACCCAAGGAGTCACACCTTGCCGAAGGATCAGCCCTTTTGTGCCCTAAGACCTTGAGCTCAGGAACCAGACAAAGCCCTTGGAGTTGTTTGTGGACAATCAGGAGGCACGAAGTGGAGCCAGAGAATCAAAGAGAATGGATCAACAAGGTCTCATTCCCACATATCCCACGGGATCCGGGCTTAATAAGTCAAATAGAATAAAATAGACCGTTTTCATTGTCCTGCCAGTTTCCATGCTTTTTAAACAATTACATAACACTTGGTCAAGTTTCAATCACTGCCCAGTCGCTGGACACGGGCGTTCGTACTGAAGTATGACCGATGTTGCGTTCGGTCACAGGAGTTTGCAGCCTGGACACGGGCATTCGAAGACCTTCTAAAGAAGCAGCTGGGTGACCCTTGGCTAAGCACAAAGCTTCCACGACGAATGCCTGTGATTTCCACTGAAGAGATGACAAGTGGGGAGGTGGAAGAGAAGTATGTAAGGTGTCGGTTGTAAGGGAGAGAATGGACTTAACTCATGGTATTTCTACACTCAGATATAATCAAGGCGGAGCTTGGCTAACTTTATTTCGGATCCCTTTTTTTAATCATAGGTCAACATTACTATACATACCATTCGTCACTTCACCATCCATTTGTCAGAGATCCAGTATGATCCGACGAGATCGCTTGATCTTGAGGCGAACTTCGTTGGAGGCCTAGGCCTCAGATTGACCAGAAATGCTGGGCGCCATGCGCAAGGCCCCTGAGGAACCACAGTACAGCACTGTATACAATTAAATTGGCATAATATGGCTTAGTATAGCACTGAATCTCCTTTATCTCCTTCTTCACTCCCCTAGTGGAGGTGCATGGAGTGTTTACCTGATGCATCTCATGGTGCTGAAATCACAGGCTTGACACCAATATTATCATCAGATGGTGGACATGTGAGCGCGAGCGTCAGTGGCCTTGGCCCCAAGTTCTGCAGAATCGGGATTGCGATGTTTTTTCAGGCGAAACACGCGGAAAGCCGGCCAACAGGATTTTCCGAAGAAGCCCCTTTTTGCATGGAAAAACCGAATGGGAAGAGAAAGAACGCGGATCTGGTTTGGGGAGTTCCATGGACGAATGGAAACTCAGATCTGGATCCCATGGAGTTAAATGGCAGATGAAGAAGTCTGTCCACACGCGTCCGGCCACATGAGGTGGTACAACCCCACAAGATGCAGCTCCGACATGCGTTGCATTCGAAGACGACGAGATGTTGGACTCGTCCGATCCGACTCCGAACGCTCCGCTGGCGGAGCGGGACGGGACGGTTCCGTTCCATTCCGGGTTTCCGATCGCGACTCCGAGACACTCGGCGACTCCGCCAGGGAGTGCGAGTCCTTTGCCATGAGCTCGGTGAGTTCTCTCGCTCCGCATCCATTAGACTGCTGATATTTGCTGATGAAAACCACCCTCCCAGGTCTGTAAAGCCATTCTGGAAGGGGAAATGTTATTTGCAGTCAGCAGCCTGTAATGTAGACTCAAGAGTGGCCACTGGTTTTCACATTGGTTTTCACATTGGTTTTCACAGGCGAAGGTGATTTGCTCATCCAGAAGAAGTCCAAAGAGGAAAGGAGGCGAGTCCGAGCGTTTTTTCGGATGGCGGTCGTCGGTCGTTGGTGCAGACGGCGAAGTGATACGATACGTGAGGGACTGGGATTCGATCAAGCCTTCGACGCCTGCAGTCTTGTACTGCAGCATCCAATCTTAGGGAGTGTTGCCTTTACTCAAGTCACTTTCCATGACATCCGGTTGATGTCCTCTAGAGATCACGTTTCTTTTCTTTCGACCAGGTACTGCATTTTGCGTACCGATGTCTTCGAGTGCGCACAACGAGTCACAGAGTTTTGCATGTGTATTGTTTGGCACAACTGGTTCACCGGGAAGAAACGTTTGGCTTGCCGATTGTACTTTTAATCTTTTAATAGTTGTTTTCTGGGGTAGTCCACGAACGTGAATACTGAGTTCAATGTTGCACTTGATTCCGATTCAGTTCGACGACAAGCATCTACAATGCAAGCACTGCTGAGACAGTCGTGCCTCTATTGATCAATGGCTTCATTCAGGTACTTCCTCAGTGAGACGGAGTTCAGAGCAGGCGTAGTTGTGGGAGTTCAGGTCGAATACTTTGCTAATCTTTGCTATCCGGCCTCATGATTTAGACGGAATCCCTGAACATCACCTCCCTTCAAACAGGACAAGGCCTCACCAACCCTTTGATATTTTTTCAATCGAACATCGCTGAACAAGAACCGAACCAATCAGCACCGAACCCGTCCGTTTGGGCTCATCACCTTTCTGTACACCAGTGCGAACCCGCCGCGGATTCATCTCGCGACGCGCTCGCAACGCGGGGTCACCGGGGTGGGGAAGTCCACCGGATGAGGTGCCGCTGCGCGCTGTCGTGCTTTGATGGAGGATATCACTGCGTTCGAGGTGGGACTGCTGAAGCAGAAGAGTGGCACTCTTTCTCGGGTGCGGGACCACCTGGATGGCATGCGCCCGCATGCGCCCACACGGCGACTGCCTCGCCGTGTGAGGTGACTGGTGAGCTAATGAAAGTCCAAATCTGAGCAGCACATGAACTTGCGCCAACGAAGAGTATTCAAGATCTCAAGGGTCAATTGAGATTTCACCTCCACCAGCGAGCAGGAGCGATGACGTAAAATTCATTGACTTCACTTCGGGGCACTAGACTAGACTCACTAGCTCCTGCCCTCTTTGCCCTCTCCTCTGCCGCCCTTCGTGTGGTGTGAGGTGACCTTGGGCGAAAGGACCCTGGAGCTCAAGGCTTTGAGCCCCGAGGTGCGTCTCTCGGCCGATCTTCACGCGACCGGATGCCGAGCGGATGCCAGGACTTGAGACGTTGGACGAAAGCTTGGGAGACGGATCCAGATGCTCCGGAGGCACAGGAGAGCAAACGAGTCCAAAATGGTCGTGTGGAAAACCAGGATAAATTGGCGTCAGTTCTGAGATGTGGTAATCTCAACTGTGGTATTCCTTCAACTTTCGTTCATCGCACACACACACACACGCACACACACACACACCCAACGTGTTTTTTCTGAAAACCGGAGTGGGACTCTCAGACACGGCTGTAGAGGACCTGTCGAATGCCAGACCAGTTCCAGCAACTCCATCAATGTCAAGTCCGAAGGAATTGCCGCAGGGATCCCCACCGCTGGGAGATTCTTCGTCGGGTGTGAAGGGCATTTTCTGTGTGACCCAGATACTGCGCACATGATGTCTACGCCTATGTAAGGCCAATTGGATCGATGGGGGGCCTGATGGGGCCTGGCGGGGGGGAAGATCAGTCTCCCCAAACTAAACCTTCTTGGAAATCAACATCAACTGCACCGCGCAGCACATGTGTGGACATGTCGACCATCACTGAGGCCTCGCAAGGGAAAGCTGGTGTGTCATGGCAGGTACCGAAGCTGTCACCTTTGGCGACCGGTACCGGAGTTGGAGGAATTTGAGCAAAGCTCTTATGAATCATTTCATCCTGGGGTTGCTTGGTTGATCTGGGTGGTTTGGGTGGGTCCTTCCCATAATCCCAAGGAAATACCACTGCTGGGCGAATCCCGAATCCTGCATCAGTTGCCCATGAACACTCATGCAAGCCTTGCACATGTACAGCCATCACCACATCTTCTGGTTAAGTCTGAGCGTGGCTCAAGCATAAATCAGCAAGGTCCTGATATGTCCTGATCAAGTACACAAAGCAGCCACACCCCGACTAAATCACTGACACCAAGGAGTGTCACATTCGATGACAATCTCTCGATACCGCAACGACCTTCACTCCCTTAACTTGACCACCAACAATTTCAGCCACTAAGACATTTTCTAACTCGTCAGCCTATCCTTTTCACCTACAGTATATATATATAATATATCGATCCCTATTCATTCGTTCATTCATTCATTCATTCATTCATTCTGACCAGCAGATGAGCAACTCCCAAGTTTCCCACTTCAAATCTACCAGCACGCAGACAAGTCCTTGGGCGGCTCCCGGCTGATGAGACTGCGGCACCTCTGTGGTTGCCTGCGGCCATCAGCACGTGCACCGGCCGGGTCACGTGCACCACAGGCCTCCCGGCCCGGCGGAAGGGCCGGGTCACGGGCGGTCACGACGGGCCACGGGGATGGGAGGCATGGGTCCTGGGTTTAAACAAGAGAAACTACTAGGTTGGAGGCCAGAAGCTACGAACGGAACAAGAAGCTACAAGTAACGATGGGCATCTCTACCAGTAGCATCCAGTAGCTAGAAGCTACTCTTTTCTGGTTTTTGTGCTCAAAAACGATCAGTTGGGGGGTGATTGGACACCGTTCATTTCAAGGCGCAGGAGTGGATTGGTGGAAAGAACCTCTACTGTACTTGCACAGCAACACCATGCAACACCTGTTTTATCAATGTTTATAAATGTTTTGCTGTAGTTATTTTTTCTTTAAAAACATCTATACTCGATCTACTCGTACCTACCATGTGCTTTCACTCTCAAGACCACGACAATACGCATGCAAATCTGAGCATTGCTGACTGAAACACGTCGATTCGCAGGGCGCTGATGCCCCGCCTCCTGACTTGAAAGACGACACGGTGGAGATGTCCCGGCAGGCGCTGAGCCTTGGTTTTCGCCAAAGAGCATCGCCAAAATTTGGGACAGACACGCCCTTCTGTGATCCGAGAATTGGGTTGAAACTGCCGCTTCTGAGTAACTCCATTGTTTTCCTACTGGAGGAGATGGCTTCTTGTTACTAGTGGGAGCTACGTTCGTAGCGTCCTTGCTCCTAGTAGCAATGCCCTTTGTTGCTAGTAGCTTCTTGTTACTGAACCAATGAAACTTTGTTCTTACCACATCATCTCATCACATCATCTCCAAAGATGCTGCTGTACCCGCGGCGCGGTTGTCGCCGCCCACTTAGATAGAGAGCTCACCGGGGTGAACATTGATTCAGTTAGTGACTCGCAGGTGCATTAGCCCTTTACATTACTGAAGGTAGACCTTGACTTGCAAAAAACGGTATGGCGAAAGGTTTGCAAACCAGAATTGTTTGAACACCGGCGCCTGGCAGGCTAGGAAACATTGGGGCAACAGCTTGATCAACAGTTCAAAACAAGCAGGTACGTCGATCCAGCGTCCCGGATCGATTTCGCAGATGCAACACTGACACTGGCGTCTTCGTTGTGCCAGTCCAGTGTGCATCCCTGGCACCCTGCTGGGTGAAGAGACAGAGTGTGACACACACACACACACACCTGCTATAGAGGGATTTTTTGCTAGGCAGCCAGTCCGGTGAATTCACCGGCGAAAGAGGTGAATGGACTTGGGTTGAGCGGGCACAATACCTAATATTTACCAGGCTACCGCCTGCAGCCGCCGACCCCCAAGGGATAGAACCTTAGCGCTAGCCTTGCTCTATGTTAGCCTTAGCCTTAAGCCTTAGCCTTAGCCTTAAGAGTGCAGACCCAACCCAGCACCACCAAAGCAGGTACCCAAAAAGTCGACTTTTTGGGTACCTCCCAGATTTACCATCGGACGTCAGCTCTTGCATGAACCCCGATCATTGCCCAAGAATTTAGACCCAACCCTTCACCACCAAAGCAGGTACCCAAAAAGTCGACTTTTTGGGTACCTCCCAGGTTTACCAATTTAGACCCAACCCAGCACCACCAAAGCAGGTACCCAAAAAGACAAAGCCTAGAGCATTCCTAGGAAAATGCCAGAAAAGCCTTTGAAAATCTCATAAACCAACAGAAAACGTGACAAAATCTACGAAAAAGCAAGGGCATTGGCCGGGACCATGCCGCGACCGGCCCGGGATTCGAGCCCAGGACCATTTTGGACCGTGCTTATTTTCCCGCGCGGGTCGAGAGGGTGCCCCAAGATGTAAATCAATTGGGATGGCAGAATCTTGGACAATTCCCGGGTCGCTCAGGTAGCTTTCAGGGCGCGATTTTCGTAACTGCAACAAGGGTCCGGAGGGGTAGGGGAGGTAAGGTCTAGGTCTAGGTCTAAGGCTAAGGACTAGGTCTAAGGCTAAGGACTAAGGCTAAGGCTTAAGGCTAAGGCTAACATCGACAGTCACGCCTCACCCCACGGTGTGGGGTCGGCGGATATGTGTATATGTTCTAATCTTGATGAACTGCTTTCTTCAGTCTGAGTTTCTCTTGGATACTCTGCCAGAGCAGGGTGTGCTGCAAGAGCATTCTTCTACGAACGAGTGATGGATTGAATAGCTGAATAACTGCTTTGTGGCAAATTCTTCGAACTTGAACGTTTTGCTCAAGAGCCAAGAAAAGACAATACCAAGGGCTGAAGCTTCACCGATCTAGCTATGGTTGTGGGTCAAAAGATCTTATATGCAAATCCACTTTAGGTGAAGATCCCCAGGGCTACGCGGCTGGCTCCGCACCAAAGTCTCACTCACTGGTTCAGGCTAAAACGTGGCCAAACCCTGGTAAAACGACAAGGAGCAACAATCTCCAAACTGACCATCAAATGCCAAGTTGGGGCATGTAGTTGGCCCACGGCGGATAGACGGCCGTGGCTTTTTCTTACATTGTTTTTGATCCTTTGCTTTCTACAGTACTACGCGTGGTAATTTTTTGGGGGGTGGGGGGGTGGGGTGGGGGTGGGGCTAATTAGCACACCTGTGGCGTAGCATGTTATCTACTTCAGTCTATTTTCTTGCGGGTTACATTCGGATAGACACTGCATCCTTTTTTTTGGCTCAGTTCAGAGATGCCGCAACCTTTGTTTTTTTTTGTGCGTTTCGTTGTTTTTTTTGTTGCGGTTGGCAGGTTTTGTGGACGTGGACAAGGTACCCCTGGTTCTTCGACCGTGGTTTCGTGTTCACCCAGGTTATCTGGACGACTTGACTTTGGTTTGGAGTAAAGTTCGTGGTGGGGATCCTTTGGTTGGTTTGACCCTCGAAATAGTTTTGGACCAGGACCGTTGGTGTTTGGATTTTCAGGGTTTGACGGACTACTCAGAACTTTTGTGGGGTTTGTGGCTAGCAGTGTGGGAACATTATCCATCACTCCAAGGGACTTGTGAGGTTTGACCAAACCATCACTCCAAGTCGTTCTATCAGATATCAAAGGACACATTATCATTCATTACGTACTCACTATATTCAATGTTGATAAATTCGATAAATATATGACTTATATTCATTAGTTTTATCAGTGTATATGACTCCCACCGCTTGGAGCAGCTCCTGTGAAGAGTGAAAAAGTCGCACACATGTCCGACGCCAAAAGTAGTTGCGTAGCTTCGAAAATGTTTCGAAGTCGCCATTTCGCCTCAGCGAAACTCTGATTTTATCGAAATCTGCATGGAATTCGCCATGATTCCAATGATGAGCTGTCGCTCACATCTTCCTACTAGAATGACGCATATTTAAGAGTGATTACCCCACGACCATCCTTCATAACCCCACGGCCGTCTATCCGCCGTGGACCTAGTTTCATCTCATGTAATTGGCTTCAGTCAAGATTGATATGCTAAGTTTGAGTCTACAGTTTTTGATGTTGCCAGAGTGCTGAATCTCAATTTAGCTCGGTTTCAATGATACATGTATTTCAAGGGGTCGGGCAGACTGTAGATCAGCAGAGTGCGAGTTTTCGTATCCTGGAAGGACCATGCCCGGAAAAATACACCACTGGCCAGTGGATCTTAGTGCGTTGGGTCAGTGGTAATGTTTTTTCAGTGGTACTGTTCTTGCCACATCCTAGACTAGACATCAAATGGCATCAAAACAGTGTCAAACCATAAGTGCTGGAAAAACTATATGTAAGCGGTTAACGACGGATGATGTTTCTGTTGGTCAGTTCAATTATGATTCGGACAATATTTTTTGACGTATACATGTCAGTTCGGCCATTTGGCCACGAGCCGCAACGCTCCATGGAACTGTTTTTTGTTAAAACCTTTTTTACGACTGAAAAACGATGGGATCCAAACACTGATGAGAAAGACTGCTGACTTGGGACTTTAGACGGTCACAGGCAAGCTATCCTTCAAATGCAGAGGCTGGTCAACGGCGGGCAGATCACCAAGGGATGTCCCAAAAGATTCCTAGCTGTTCAGATTTCTTGGCCATGGCCTCGTGTGATTCAATTCAAGACATTTTTGATGGGTTTGGTATATAGAAGTCCCACTCAAGGTATAGTCGACCCAGGGTAGCCACCTAGACTCTGACCTAGCCTAGGCTGTAGGTCCCTACTTTCAAATGGTTATTTGTTCTTCATTTGGGAGGGATTAGACATCGAGCGGACGATCGCAGGCCAGCAGACCTGGCGCAGGACCCTGTGGGGAGCTTGAAGAATTTGATCTAAATACCTGTGCCGTTGGCTATGGCTCCCAAAATAGGATACCATATGGTACCATCCGAAAACCTGCTTGGTTAAAGGAAA